AAAAGGTTGCCTACCCCTGAAATAGATCAATACTTCTATAAGGACACATGTTAATCTAATTTTCCAGTGACTATAATTGGACAGATGATGGTTAAATGTATTAATATTTGCTTGTGATGTTAAGACGGGAAACCCTTTCAATGTATATATCCTACACTTTTGTACCAGTTGCAAAGTATATCTATCCTGCTTATATGCTGTGAGGCTTATTCCCCCACGCAAATCTCCCCACTCTCTGTCATGCATGATAGAAGCAAGAGCAACAAAAGAATGGATTGTGTTTTCTACACAAGCTGTGTGTATAGAAAAACTTGGACATGAATCAGGAAATGGAGTGCTTTCACTAGAGCTCAATATGAACTCAAGCCAATACAGTCATTAATTACATAGCATTTAAAATACACACACACACATACTATAAGATACTTCACATAGCAACCAAGCTTACTAATTTCTCAAAGAATGTGGTTTATTTTCTATTAGTGTTTGGTAATATTTATTACATCCTGTCAGCAACAAATTCATCCTAAAAGGCATTATTCTTTGAATCAAATCTTATTTTGAAAATCTGAAGTATCAAAAATTACCCATGAATCAAAGTGTTATGAAATATGGTCAAAGAATATTTAAGTTTGATAAATTCTGTCTGCAAGATGCTTCCATATGCATCTGAGAGGTTGATGTTGTTTTATCGTGTTATATAGCAATCTTTACACCGTCCCATCCATGTGTGGTCTTAACAAAAAGAAGAATGGGAGTTCATAATTTACAAAAAAAAAGTAGCGTAACAGAATGGAAAAGAGATAGAATGGGAGAAGGAAGAGAAAGTAGTAAAGAAAGTATATGCATTCAGTTTGTTTACAAGTAAAGGTATTCCCCATTGACAAGATTGCCAAATTATGTCCAAACGCAGGAGGCGCTGCTAATCTCTGTTACTAAACCAAAGAGCCAGCGTTGTCCGAAGACTCTGTGATCCTGTGGCCAGCCTGACTGCACAGAACGCTGTTTAACCCCCCCCCCCCCGAAGTGGTACCTATTTATCTGCTTGCATTTGCATGCTTATGAACTGCTAGGTTGGCAGAAGCTAGGACTAGTGACAGGAGCTCACCCCATCACTCAGCACCTGGGCCAAGATGAAATGTAGTATGAATGTTTGTAAAATCACTAATGTCTTGTTGGGTCAGATCAGACTGCTGTATTTGTATATAGCAACAACCAGACTGCTGGTTTAATGTTTATCAGGAACAAGCTACATGCTGATCTATGTAGCTTATCACTCTTAGCTGACACTTTTCTTTGTGTAAGTGAATAAAGCAAATCCAAAATCTTCACACGACATCTGAACATGATACCCCAGTTTGTTATTTCCAAACAAAGCAGGTTGGTAAGAATGAGCTAGTAATAATATGAAGGCTTAGAAAGAAACGGAAAGGAATACAGGAAAAAAATGTGGCCATTCTCCTTTTCAAGTATGCCATTAACAGAATAGGAGTAGAGAACCATGATTCCTATGCATACTGTGTAGACACAGAACTCTCAAATCCAAAATGCATTTCTCTTCCTAATGGGTGCTGCCAGTTCATACAAGCCTCAGGTTTCATCACAAAGATAAAAACAAAGACTCAGGTTCAGAATCTGAATGTTAATCTTTCAGAAACTAGTTCTCATTAAAGATGCATGCTCCCAGTATATTAAAGAACTAGTTTAAGTGTGACTAATTTTGTGATGTGTACGAGGGGGTATCAGAAAGTAATAATTATCACCCAGAAGTTATTATGGTATGTTGATGAAATTTTGTCAGTGTCATCATCACCAAGTGACTTTTTATTTTCCCAAAAATGAAACATCAGTTGCGGGGTTGCTGATTTGACAACACAGATGACGTCATTCATGAAGTGGAAGAGTGGTTTAAGGCGCAATCTGCAGACTTCTACAATAACAGTATTGTGTTGTATTGACTCAAGAAACACTGCAAAATTTGTAAATCTGGATGGTGACTACATAGAAACAAGTTAACAACTACAAGTCAAAACAAACTTTCTGTCAAAAAAATTTTTAAAGGTGATAAGTAAAACTTTACGGTACTCCCTCCTATGATGACAATACACTGTACTAATAATATAAGTTTAGATTTTATATATTTAATTTTCCTCCCAATACAGTTGCCCCTCCGTTTTTGTAGGGAATCTGTTCCATATCCCCCCCCC